GTTCACAAATGGCCCTACAGCAAGGCCAAAAACTCCAACCGCCTGCTGGACAGCGACTTCTACGAGGAGGGCATGGGGCCGTGCAGGGGCCACCGCAGCAAATCTCAGAAGCGCGTCCCAAAAGAATTTCGGGTACGACTTCTCAACCCTACCAGACCCTGCGGTTCGCGGAGTCTATTTCAGCGACATCATAGACTTCCAGAAGGCAAACCGCGGCAAGATCGCAATTTCCGTGTGGGAGGTGCACCGCACCGAATGGCAAGGTGAGACATACTACGAGCGTCACATAGTGTGTGAGCCGTGCTACGTCGAAGGAGCTGTGGCTGAGCACCGAGTGTACCTGCTACGCGTGGCGGATCATTACTCTTTGATATACAACACAAGCGCCTTCCTGAGCTCCAACGGCGAAAGGATGGCTGGCTCCAGATCCCGCTCCCACGCTTCCGTGCACATCTGTCCTACCTGTCGATGTGGTTTCAAGACCGAAGAGACACTTCAGAAGCACTTGAGGCTGAGTCGTGTGAACCCCTGCAGCTATGATGCTGGCAAGCGCGCTGCCCTCCTCAAGTTCCCGCAAAAGGAGACGCTGCAGCACCTGGTGAGGTTCAAAGCAAGCTCGTCGGCCGAGCTGGCGCCGCTCGTTATCTACGCAGACTTGGAGGCCTTCTGTGACGTGCCACCTTCCGATGCCGTGGCCGAGCACGTGCATCGGGTCCAACGTCGGGCTGCTTCTGCTGCATTCAGGGTCGTTACCCACAACGGCTTCAGCGTGCCTGAGTGCGAAAGGGTCTTCCTCACCAGGACGGAGAACGACGACCACGAGCACGCTACTATTGAAAGGTTCCTCCGAGCTTGCCTTCGTCAGGCCCTGCGCTACAAGATTTGGAGGCAGACAACAAATGTTGCTCCGCAGGAACGCCGCAGGCGCGAGAGCGCAACTCGCTGCGAGCAGTGCCACACTACGTTCATCCAGGGACACCCGTGGCGGATGAAATGCCTGCATCATCGACATGGAACAGGGCAATTCTTGCAGTCCCTTTGCGCTGGCTGTAACAAGAGAATCAAGCAACCGCGAGAAGTGCCTGTGATGTTTCACAATGCGGGATCATATGATCTGAAATTCATCCTCCGCACGATCTCGTACCTTCGCCGTGAGTCGGTGCCAGAGCCCGTGGTCTGCCAGGAGGAGGATGACAGCGAGTCTGAGGTCGAGGACGAGGAGTCTGACTGGGAGGATTCGCCGCCTGATGTGGAAGAACGTCATCCTACTCTCGACGAGGCGCTCGCCCTGGAGGTGGACTTCAAAAAGCTTGACTTCAAAGTCTTGTTCAAAACGGCGGAAAGAATGTTGGAGCTGCGCCTGGGGAACTTGGTCTTCCGCGACAGCATCAACTTCTACAACAGCAGCCTGGGCGACCTCATGGACAACTTGGCCAAGACCGCTGGAAGCAACGACGTGTGGACCGTCTTCCCCCTGACTGCAGCAGTTCACCCGGAGCTACAGCCAAATGCCATGACCCCGGAGCGGCGGCACGCCTGCGGGAGTACTTCGCTCCGGACAAGACCGACTGCGCCGAGGACGACTACAAGAGATGGACGTGGAAACTTCTCCTCCGCAAGCTCCCAATGCCCTTCGACTACATGACGGACGCGGGGATCTGGGACAAGGAAGCGGTCTGGGACGAGGCGTGCTACGTCAGCAAGTTGAAGAAGGCCAAGAGCGCCGAGGAGCAGAAGGCCGAGCGCAAGCTTCTCAACGAGACGGCTACCGTCATGGGCTGGCGCACGTTTCGTGAGATACATGACGCATATCTCATGATGGATTTGTGCCTCGCAGACATTATGGAGTCGTTCAGAGCTGCGTTCTATTCAAAGTTCGCCCTGGACGCGCTCCAATATGTCACTTTGCCGAGCGCATCGTACGACGCCATGAAAAAGAGCTGTTTGCGCGGGGAGCCTGCGCGTCTTATCACCGACCCTGACATCTACAAGACGGTGCGTCAGTCCATCGTGGGCGGGCTCTCTTGTGCCTTTCCAGACATACACGAAGGCAAACTCGCCGGAGTTGGGGCCCGACAAGTGGGACGAGAACGAACCCACAAGCTATGGGCTTCAGATGGACATATCCTCAATGTATCCCTACGTCATGACGATGCCCTTGCCAATCAGCTCAGGCAAAAAGGTCGCGCTTCCTGAGGATCCCCAGGCAAGACTGGAATGGGTACGCGAGCTGGTGGCCCAGATCGACTACATGAATGACTCCGAGGACGTGTGCTGGCTCGTGAAGGCGGACTTCACGTTTCCGTGCTACACGCACGACTACCTGGATTGGGCGCCTCCCGCAAAGATGGCTATCCCTCCCCAAATGCTGTCAGAGTATTCCCGTAAGGTCATGAGGGAGAACCACCTGCAGCCCTGCAAGTGCAAAAAACTTGTGCCGTACCTGGGAGTTCACGAGGGAGAAGGCGTTGATGGCAAAAGGCTGGCCTTCATGATCAAGATCATGGGCGCTCAGGTCCTGCGTGTCCACGAGGTCATCGAGTTCAAATGCAAACCTTTCTTGGGTGAGTGGATGCGCAACATCTACCAGGAGCGCCTCGAGATGAAACGGTCTGGCAGATTGGTTGAGGCCGAAACTTTGAAGCTCGTCCTCAACTCGATCTACGGGAAGCTGATTCAAAGGGTCGAAGGCTTCAAGAACTCCAGACTGTACACTTCGCGCAAGTCTTGGATCAAAGCCGTCAACGGCAGACGGGTGAAAGACGTGGACATCATCTACAACGAGGACAACGACCCGGAGTTCTTAGGCGTGGTCCACAACATCGTCCGAGAGGTGTTGCAAAAGTCGCTGGTCCAAGATGGATGGAGGGTCTTAGAGCTGTCGCGGCTTTACATGCTCAAGATTCACTACCTTGGAATGAAACAAATCTTTCCCGACGCCATCGTGACCTTGACGGACACGGACTGCGGCCACTACTGGATCCCTAGTGACGAGGATCCTCTGCGTGCCTTGGCCCGAGCAAATGAGGAACCAGGCAGGTGGCCGTGCTTCTTTGACTTGGCAAAGGACCTCGTGGGCAAGCCCGACGGCGAGAAGGTTCTGGCTCACCTCACCCCGAACCAACAACACATTGCCTGGGAGCGCGCGGGCGAGCTCGGCGGCTTCGGAGTGGAACATCTTCCTCGAAGAGTCTGGGAGGAGATAAACCTGAGGGCGAAGCTGTACACGACGCGCTTCAACAGCGGAGCAAGGGCATCGTGAAGCGCTCACGCCCCGGGCACGAGGCGTACCGCTTGGCCATGGCTAGGGGTCGGGAAACCGGGATCAGTTTTTCGCAACTGGTGAGTCGTCAATTCGTGCTGTCGGTGGTGAACCTGAGCAAAAAAGCCTTCAGTCCCTATAACGACAAAGCGTTCCAAGTGAAGCAGACCGAGAACCGCCCTCATGGCCACTGGCGCAACAATGAGATGCTGGTCAAGATTGAGGCGACATTGGGCCTGGAAGACAAGCCTTTTCAGCTGATCATGCTTTTCCTGCATGGTAGGACAGACCGGAAATGCGTAGCCGAGCTGCTCTAGTCCTCTGTTTAGTGAGTTTGAGTTGGGAATGACCTCCAGCTCCTTGTACAGCTCTGAGCTGCGTGGCCTACAGACATTCCCGATACAGAAGCTTGCGGCACAGTGACAGGTGTCGCCGAACTCAAGCAAGCAACTGCTTTGATCCATATCGTGGTCAAACGTGAACGCGTGCTGCCAGTCATTCTTTCGCCTTGCAACTGGAGTCTTTGTTTTTTACTGTCCCGAACAAAGGCTCAGCCTGCTGGTGCGAGTGGGCCTGGAGCTAAGCGCACCTCTCGAGCAGCTCTAGCATTCCTGCTTTCGCGAGAGTCCAGTGCTGGCCTGCCCTGCGCAACTGCTTTCCGTAGGTCGCGTGCCACTAGCCTGCCGCCCGTCCAACCCTGTAGAGTGAAGAGTGGTCCCATGTCTGTGTAGTCGATTTTGGTGATGGTGTAGGTTTGCTCTGACCAGGCAGTTTCGGTAACTCTGTAGGAAGCCCTGTTTTCCTCGGCTTGACCCTGACCCTGACCTTCTCGCCCACACCAAGCATCGGCCGAGGTGGTGCTCCTCGCTTCGCCTGGGCCCTCATGGTTTGCCTAGCATGTTCTGCTTTCGCGGGATCAGAGTACGCTTGATTAGGAGTCACGCCCGTTCCACCGTGCTTTCTAGCGTTGTATTGTGCAAGCACGTTTGGTAGCAACTGGTACCACCTATTCCTGGGAACGAGTCCTGCAGATATTCTGCGAATTAGGGCCTCCTTGATCGTTCTAATCGCTCTTTCTGCAAAGTAAGCGTGCCCTCTAGTGACAACTTTTTCCACGTCAAAGTAATCTAGCCTCTCCTTAAATTCCCTTTTGAACTCAGAGCCATCGTCGGAGTAAACGTAGGAGGGGATGCCGAGATCTTTCACTACCTGATTCCAGGCTGCTGCCGCGGCGCTAGCCTCCTTCCTTGCGAGAGGCACGGCCGTAGCCTTCTTCGTGAATGTGTCAATCGCTACGAGCATGTATCTGTAGGGGTTGGTGCCAAACACTGACATGTCTGCCAAGTCAACTTGCAGCTGATGCATGGGTTCTACGGGGACGTAGGAGTTGTAACCCCTTTGCGGTCGGTCCTCCCGAACCTTTAGCCCCTCCATAAACCTTACTACATCACCTCTGGAAATAGTAGGATCCCGAGCCCTAGCTTGTCGTAGAGTGTCGGCGATGCTCCCAAACCCATTTCTAGGATCCTCGTAAATTTGTTTGATGATGATTTGCCTGTTCTCTGCCATGGATTGTTTTGAATTAAACGCTCTGTGCTCCTGATCGTCAGGTGCTCCAGCCGTAGTGACCGCGTAGTGACCGCGTAGTGACCGCGTAGTGACCGCGTAGTGACCGCGTCGTGACCGCGTCAAACCCAACCCGAAAACGGCTATGAATTTGTTGTTTTTTTGCATTTTTTTGATGAAAATCTGCTGCTAGGAAACCGTTCGAATCTGGAGTGTGGTCTGGAGTGTGGGGATACTGGAAGAACAGCTAACTTTGAGAAAGCCGATCCTCTCTTCAGACCGCTCTTTCAAACCAACATGCTGGCCAAAATGCGAAAAATCCAATCTGAACCTGCGCTGGAACAAAATTGGAACAAAATTGGAACAAAATTGGAAAATTGGAACAGAATTGGAACAGAATTGGAACAGAATTGGAACAAAATTGGAACAAAAATGAATGAATACAAGATATGCCGAGTAGCTTTGCTACGAGATTGATACGAGATAGAAGGAGCAGATTTGCGCAGAAAGAAACAGCCGTTTCGAACCAACACGCGATCAAAACAGCAATCTTTCAATCTGAGCCTACACCCTACCCTATATTATGTGTAAGGGGAGGTGTGTGACGCATGGG